GAGAGAGAAGGGGGGAGAGAGAGAGAGGGAGAGAAGTAGGGATCGGGTAATTAACGTAAAAACAAAAAAAAATTTACAACAATCGTCCATAAACCATTTTACTATATATCTCGACGTATATACAACAATATAAATAATTTTTTTTTGTTGTTGTTTTTGTTGTCGTTGTCGTTATATTCAATGATCCTATTATTCCAATGTTTCACCCCTTAACGGAAGAATCTCCCTCGGAATATTCTTTATAGTTTAGTTAATGTCCACCGTTTTTTTCCTTTCTTTCCTTTTTTTTTTTCATTCATTGTCTCTTGGATCTCTCATAATCGAATCATTTTTATTCACACTTTTTATGACTTTTTTTTTTTAAAATTTTTTTCTGGTTGTTTTCTTTCTTTCTCGCACTCTTTTTACTTTAGTCGATGACTCGATATTTTCACAATTAAATGAATTATGCTTTGTAAGTTTTTTTAAGAGTCATTTATACAGGTAATATAAGAGACGAATGAAATTTAGGGTAAAAGTTGTAGTAAAAGAGATTTCTGCGATTTACCCCCAAAAAATAGAGAGAGAGAGAGAGATATTTATAAAAAGGCACCCTTGACAAAAAAAAAAATAACAAAAGTTTACCACCACAGGAATGATTTAAACAACAGCGATAAATTTTTATGATAAAACTCTTTAGATCAATCACAGTGTAATTAACCATTGTTTGAGTTTTTTTTTTTTTTATAACAATTCGTTCCGATATTATTATTATTATTTAGAATTTAAAAAAAATAAAATTGTCGTTTGTAAAAACGATGGCGATTCGAAAAAGAAAATTTTTTTTTGTTAAAAAGAATTACGAGAAGGTTGTAAAAGAAAAAAGAAAAAAAAAGGAAAAAAAATTTTCACCCGCATAAATTCAGCCCTGAACTAGATTAAAAATGTGCCAAACAAATTTTTTTTTTTTTTTTTTTTTCGATAAAATTTTACATTGATTTCACCGTTTTTTTGCCACATTTTTATAAATTTTCCTACGATAAAAAAATTATTTTTTATTTTTTTTTTGCGGGGGGCGGGGGGAGAGAGAGAGAGAGGGAAGGTTTCATTGACCTTTTCCATCGTTTTAAATTTTTATTTAAATTTCTAAAAAACTTTTTTAAATATATATAATAAAGTTAATTAATTAATTAATTTATTCCTTTGTTGAAAGAAAAACAATTTTTTTTTTTTTTTCCTTTTGTTCAGTAGTAAAATTTTCTTTTTTTCCCTTTTGTTCAGTAGTAAAAATTTTCTTTTGCAAAAATAAATAAATAAAAGGAAAAATACGAAATTTTTTTCCTTTTTTTTTTTTTTGAATAAAATTAAACAATGGAAGAAAATTTACGCTTTACGTTAAAAATCTTTAACGGGGGGGCGAGGGAAAGGAAAATTCTTTTTTACGACAAAACTGGAAAATAAACTGGAAAAGTTTTCTTGTTTTTTTTTTTTTCAAAAAAGAAAAGTTTAATAATGAAAAGTTTAAAGATCTGATATTATTTTGTAATTAATTTTCTTTCATCTTTTTTTTTTACTTAAATAATTATTATTATTATTATCGTTATAATTATCACAAAAGTTTTTTTTCGTTATTAAATTTTAAAAGAACAAGTTTATAATAAAAAAAAAAAATGGAGGGCTAGAATAATAGGTAAAATAAAAAAAAAAAAAGAAAAAAAGTTTGTAATTGCAGGTGACGATATAGGGTAATAAACATGGAGTCAACCGATAATATAATCATAATTCTTGGTGAAAATTGAGATAGTCGTCCGTTATCCATTTTTTTTTTTTCAGCTGTTGGCAATGATGCGGGCTTTAAATAAAACATTTTTTCTTATTTCATACTTTTACTAAGTGCTTGTGCTCTTTCTCTCTCTCTCTCTCTCTCTCTCTCTCTCTCTCTCTCTCTCTCTCTCTCTCTTGTCTTTAACTTCCGAGTTTCTCCAGTTCCCCAAAAAAAAAAAAAAAAAAATTTTTAATCTTTTTCAAAAATTAATTTCCAGTTTTATTGTTCTTCAATCTTTAATTTTTCCACTCTCTCTCTCTCTTTCTCTCTTCGATATTTCGTTGAAAACTTTGAAATGTTTCTCCACCCCTCCCCCAAATCCCCCCCTTCAAGATTATTATTCATTTAAAAAGATTTAAATCGTTAATAGATTTTACTTTGAATTTTAATTAATTAATAAATAGATAAGGTTAAAACTTTATTTGTCTGTTTGTTTGTTTGTTGTGGAAGGAAGGAAGGAAAGAGGAGGAAGATGAGAGAGAGAAAGAGAAAGAGGAGACCTTTGTAAATTTTGATTTTTACAAATGGACAATTAAAAACTTTTTAAAATTTTTTTTTACTAATTTGACGAGCGATAAATATCTTGTTTCTTTGTTTTCGTGTGTGTGTGTGTGTGTGTGTGCGTGTGCGTGTGTGCGTGTGTACGTGACGAAATTCCGATACAAAAGGAAAAAAGATGAAAGAGAGAAAATAAAGTTGGAATGAGTCTCGGATATAATAAAGAGAGAAAGAGAGAGAGAGTTAGACAAATATTTTGGGGCTAATTAAAGAGGGTTTGATTGTTGTTTGCCGAGGATAAAGTGAGTTCGAAATGAAAAAAAGGGAGTCTGGGGATCCGGACATCGGGTGGTTCCCAGCCAATCAAATCCGGTTCACAACTCGAGTTTATTGTCCCATGAAATCGGTACAATTTTCAGAAACGATTTTCCGCTTTTAATTCTTACGTTGAAAAAAAAAAATTTTTTTTTTTTTTGAAACATTACAAAAAACAAAACAGACAAACACAGACAAACGCAGACAAACGCGTACAAACACATACAAACACTCACACAAACACAAACGCGCACAAACGAGAAAAATGGGGAAAATTTTTCTTTTATTTTTATTTTTTTTGTTGAAAACGCAATAAAATAAAATTTTAAATTTTATAAATTTTCCATGATGATATTAATAATAATAATAATAAATCACGTGACATAAAATTTTTATTACTAATACGTAGACGTTAGTAAAAACAACCTATTTAAATGTTATTGATCTTTTTTTTTTTTAAAAAAAATAAATTCATTAATCGTTGCAATATCTTAACGCGGAACCCCCATAATAATCATAATAACTATTAGACCTTAGCGATGATAATAATAATAATAATAATATAAAACTTTTTGTTTTTAAAACCCAAATTTTTATTGTTTAATTGCGTCGTATAGAATAACAAACGACAACAACAACAACAACACAGACAAAATTTTTTTTATTCATTGATTTAATAAAAAAAAAAAAATTTTTTTTTTTTTTTTGGTCAAGATTCAAAGGTTTTTTTTTTTTTATAACCTCAGCCATTTTAAAACCTTTTCCTGAAAGATATCAATACTTTTTTTTCTCTCTCTCTCTCTCTCTCTTTTTTTATTATGAGAATAATATTGTTCAACATCCTTTTTGGACTTTTTGTTTTAAAACTTATACAACCAGCATTTCTCATAGGGTAATTTGAGATTTTTTCCTTTCATAATTTTTATTTATGTATGTACGTATTAAAACCTTTTCATATATTTTTTTTTTTTTTATTAATTCAATGATTAATTTTATTACACCTGAATTATTAAATCGATCATTTATTAATAAAAAATTATTAAACCTCTTCTCCGGTTGTCTGGATGAAAAAAAATTTTTTTTATTTCATTTAAATTAAAAAATAATTACATAACAATTCAAATTATTTAATTAATGTGCCCCCCCCTTCAGACTTTAATTATTTTTAACCGAGCAGATTTAGGACTAAATAACTTTTTAAAAAAAACAACGATAACATGTTTTTATTATTATTATTATTATTATTTTGTAGATTATTTATTCAAAAATAAATTTTTTCACTCCTGGAAAATTTTTTAAATAAAATTTATGATACATTCTCACAATAATTATTATTATTTATTTTAAGGCATTAATAATAAGCAAAGTTTGATTATAAAAACATTTGTGTGTGAGGGGGAGGGGGTGCTGGGGTGCGAGGGGGACGGTTTTGTTCTCCAGCTTTTGAAAAATAATTAAAATTAGTGATTCATCAAAGAATTGATGAATTTTTATTTTCTCACGTTCAATTTGTAAAAGATAAGTGATCAATTATTTATCCGACAATCAAACAATTTATTAAATGAAATAAAAAAAGAAGAAAAAATGATGATAATAATAATAATAATTGTTGCGAGAGGATCTGTAGTTTTTTTATATTTTTTTTTTTTTTTTTTTTTGTTACAGAGAGGAGGAAGTTCATGTGGAATCATGATGGAAATAAAAAAATGACAAGGGGCGCGTGTCTCAACCTTTATGAATTAAATCCATCAATTATACATCAATACTACTTTGTAGTAGTTTGCTTGGTAAAAAAAAAAAATATCTTTTCTGGTAATTTACATTTTGGTTATGGATCATTTACTTCATGGTACTCACTAGTTTTTTTTTTTTTTTTTTGGAGGGGTAACAAATCTCGTCCTCCTCTCACGATTTTTTATTTTGTTAAAAAAATGTATAAACCTATGTAACTATAATTATTATTATTATTATTGTTTTAAATTTTATTTTTACAATACAAATATGAATTTTTTCCTACAAAAATTAATTTAATTTTCAAATGATAATAGTTTATAGTTTACGGGACATGATTTTTTTTTAAAAAGAATAATAATTAGTGATTAAAAATTAAATTTTAATTGATTTTAATTGTAATTGTTTTTAAACCATTTTTTTTTTTCGGTAAAAAGTTGTTGGTGTTGATGATCCGACGGTTGATGTTTTTGTAATTGAATACTACTGCGCGACATCTATTGTTGTTTAATGTAAACTTAATTTTTGTTTTCAAAAAGATGTAGATGTCGCTAGTTGTAATAAAGTAAAACGAATTCGAATTCAAGAGTTCGTTCTTTGCGAGAAAATGCTAACGGTTTTTCGTGTTAACGACAGAATTTTATTTTATAAAATGATTTTTAGTGAAGTTTTATCAATTTTAAGATTAGAATTAATAGATATTTATTCGGAAACGTTCGAAGAATCACCTGATAATAGTGCATCTAAAAAAGAAGAGCATTTAAGAAAAATAGAATCCGTTATATTGAAAGTCGTTAAAGAAATTTCTAGAAATCAAATTCCTTACTTCGAGACAATTTTACATACGGATTGTAGCAATTGTTACTTCGATGGCAGGTAAGTTATAATTTTTTAGATGTAATTTATTAAAAAACAATGCATACTGGTAATATTTTGATTTTAGAATAAAATTGAAAAAAGAAAAGTTAAAAATTATTAAAATTAATTTTGGAAAAGGTAATTGTCGTTCGAAATTTGCCACCATAATGTACTTATTATCTAAAATACATAAATTATTAACTACTGGTCAAGTATCTACTCGAAGGTATTTAAAAAAAAGACAATTTTATTTGAATTGCCAATTATAATGATGCATAAATTGTTATACTTGCTTATTCTTTTCCAGAGAATTATATTATAAAAATTTGAAAAATTTTAAATCGCAAAGAGATGTAGACATTGCAATAAAAGACATTAGTTATATTTTGAATGCTCCACCTTGGGAATTGGGAGTTTTAGCAACATCTAAAGGAATGGTGTCTGGACCCTTATTGCTTCATTTAAAAAATGGTCAAGTTTTAAATTGCAACATAAAGGAAGGTAAACTCAAAAATAGTATGAACTACTATAACTCAAGGTGACCTTAATGAAACTTAACAGAACAGCTCAATAATCAGCTCAATTTATATCTATTTTAGGTGTATCTGTTCCCATAAATGTTTCTGATGTGGAAAATTTAACTTCTACAGCAAAATGGATGCTAATTATAGAAAAAGATGCATCTTTTCAAACTTTGCTTGATTCTTCAGCAGTAGAAAAATTAGATTCTTGCATACTTATAACTGTTAAGTATTTAATTAACTAAAAAAGAAAAAGAAACTTATTACTTTTCAATGTGAAATTTATGCTAATTTTTTTTATTACAGGGAAAAGGTTTTCCTGATGTGAATACTCGCATGTTGGTTTGTAAAGTTTGGCAAAAATTACAAATTCCAATATTAGCATTGTGTGATGCTGATCCCTATGGTTTTGAAATAATGTGCGTATATCGTTTTGGATCTGTTGTGAGTATAAATATTTAATTTAACTTTTTTTATTAATAAATAAAACAAATAGTTATTATTTAAAGATTAATTACAACATTTGAAACGATAACTTTAATATTTGGAAGATACAAAAATTTATAATTATTTTTTTTTCTTTTAAAATTTGTTAATTTGAGTCTATGTCAAACCTTGCTGATTCTCTTGCGTGTCCATCAATACGTTGGCTTGGCATTCATCCTAACGATATAAAACCTTTATTGTTAAATTCGCAAACCTTATCTGCAAACGACATTAAAAAAATTAAAAATGCCATGAATAGAAGTTACGTTCAAAAAAATTTTAATTTAATAAATCAGGTAGTCACTGCACACTCAATTAACATATTTTTCCTTTGAAAAGTTTTATTTACTTGTTAGTTTTTTTTTTTTGGTAGTTCATTAATTCAATTCTGTATTGTTTTCTTATCTTTTAAGCTTCAAACGTTTCTTAAAGAAAATAGAAAAGCAGAAATTGAAGAAATTTCTAATATTTCTCCCAATTTTTTAATTGATGTTTATTTAAAAAATAAAATTCAATGCAAAGAATATTATTAAAAATTTTATTTATATTTTATTTTTTATATATATAGATAAGCTGTAAATTAAACTTTATATTTAATAATAATAAACGAATATAGGTTTTATTAGGATTTATGAATGCTAATGCTATATAAGAATGATTATTAGACATTTTTAAATAATAATTATTTGTTTAAAAATATGATTTTTAAGAGAATTCTTAACTTATTTTGCCGCCATTTTTATTCAAATTTCTCTTTTTAACTTATTTCTTTATTTATTTTTTTATTAATAAAAATTATACTTATTATTTTTGGCTAATTCAATGATTTTAAAAAATTTATTGATATTTAATTTAACTTAAAAATATATTTCTAAAAACTTTTTTATTTTTTTCTAAAAGTGTGAATAACACATAAAAAAAAAAGACCAATTTAATAAATTATAAAAAGATAAAAAAAAAAAAAAAAACTTTAAAAAAATTGTTGTTGTTAATTAATCTTATGTATTTAATTATTATTTAAGTTGTTAATAAGATTTTTAATTTAAGAATTTTTTTTTTTTTTTTTTTTTAATTGTTTAAATCTATAATGTATAATTTGTCGAATATAGGCAATAAGCTTATATAAAACTAATAATTTAACTATTATATATAATTATTATAAAAATCGGTCTTTGCCCTCAGGATCTTCTTCATCGGAAAATACCCAGTTATTACCAAATGTAAATTTACACGAATTCATCATTGAAGAAGAATTTTGAGATCCGAAAATGAATGAAAATTCTTTATCTTCTGGTTGATTGACAACATCATTCGCTTCAGAAGATTCTTGTAGATTTAAATCACGTTCGATTTCAGGTAACGATTCATTTAATAATTCATTCGCGGTTTCGTGTGCGGTCAAAGAAATTTCTTTAGGTTTTTCACACCAAGTATTTTCAATTTTATTATCCTCTTCTTCTTCTTTTTCTTCCCTTTCTTCCCAATTATTTTCCTCAATTTTTTCCATAACATTTTTATCACTTTGTTTACCATCTACAGGCACGTTGGGAACATTGCATTTTTTTAATGAAATTTTAGAACCGGAAATTGATGTTTTACTTTCTTGTTGTGCGATAATATTAATAGCATTGGCATTATCTAAAGATCTTGTGTATATATCTGTAAATTCATCCGTTTGACTACAACTTTCTTCGAGAAATTTCCCGGGTTTTTTAAAAAGTACAAGAGTTTCTTTATTTGCCATATCACCATTTAAATTATTTTTGCTATCGTTTAAAAATGTTTTGCTATTATTATTATTTTTCTCCGTATAACTTTTATCTTCGAGCATAGGAATAGGATTCTGAATTGTTAATGTTTTGTTTAAAATTTTCGTTATTTCTTTTTGAGGTGACAATAAAATTCTACAATCTTGTTTTGTTATATTGATCATACTTGAATTTTTCAACGATAAATCTTCGTTCGAACTATTTTTACTCGATCTCAAATTATATGTTCTAGCGGGTTCAGAACTTTGCCTCGTCTGCCTCCTTTTTTTTGTTTTACAAATTCTGGATAAAGATTGTACATTTTGAGAATTATCTTGATAATCGTTTGACTCGGGATCTCTATCGTAGAAATCATTTATTCTATCGTCGCTATTTTTCGTTCCTAAACTTATAATTAAATGCCTTGAATTTTGTGATCTAATGACTGTGGGTAAGCCAACATCAATATTTCCTTTATCGCTCATTTCTTCCACGGGTTTAAAACGAGTGCGAAATTTTGATCGTCTGCTTTTATTTTCATTTATTTCCGAGCAATTACCACTTGTTTTATCAACTTGTTCTAAACATGAATCAAACGATGTGGTAGATATGGCTAAACTTCCTTCCAAATGTTCTTCTTTGCACGAAAATGTATCACTATAAGTTTCCCAAGAATCAATTTTTGAACTTGCATCTGATAAACTTGTATTAGAGCCTTCGCTTCTTTTCCTATTCGATCTAGCCGATCTTTTGGCCAACACGAAATCTAAATCGTGAGGTTTTAAAGAAGACATTTTGGCAATTCTACTATCTATTTTTCTTTTTTTTTTAGAATTTCCCTCGTAACATGGTTTCGAGCACATGGTGTGAGAACAAGTTAAATCATCACCCAAGTTCGTACCAATGACAAGTGGTCTGATGGCACATTTAGATCCTTTTATATCAAGGTATTTGTTATTTTGAATTAAATGACCGTCTTGATTAGAAACACTCTCATCGCATTTACAATAGTTTTTACTGACATTGAAACCATCTTTTTTTTTTAATTTCGACGATGTTTGTTGCCGAGATTCTTTTTTCCCGTGTTTTTTTTTTTTTGAAAGTTCCGAATTTAATTGCACAACGTCATATTCGAAAGACATATTTCGATTTTTAGCCATTTTCGTTTTGTGATTTATCCTTTTTAACTTTTCCTGAACGTAAATATCCATTAATTTACTTTGAAAACATTTTTTCAAGGTGTAAAAGGGAGCCAAAACGACGGCGTTATTTAATGTTTTATATGCAGGTCTCGGCAATTTTGACATTTTTAATGATTTTTTAGCGTGTTTCAAATTAGACCCGAATTTAGACGCTCGAAGTTTCGCCTTTGTTTCAGAACATTCTGTTAAATTATGCGAGTCTCTACTCACTGCAGCAAAATCACCTCCTGCTGAAGATGTTCTACTGCTTCTTCGCACTCTTCCGGAAACATTTGATCTGGACGATAAAGAAGCCCGGGAACAAATCAACCTACAACATTTATAAAAATACTTTAAGGTAATTAAATCTTTTTTTTGGCGCCTCAATACAAAAAAATAAAATAAATGTTAATTAAATGTAACATAATTTTCTAACATAAATTCGCGAGGTATTAACATTTATTCATAGTTTTAAAATAATCAATAAGATTATAAAACTACAGTTTTGAAATTCAAATGTAAAAAGTTTTTGTGTTGACGTTTTGTGACATACAACAAAAACAAATTATTATTATTATTATTATTGTGGTAAAAAAAAAAAAAAACGGTAAGACAAACATGACAACATAATAATAATAAGGTTATATTTTACCTTCTTCTTGTTCTTTGCATTACACCAAAATAAAATCTCAGAAAAAATTATTTATATTATTAAACAATGTAAACAATAACACAAATACTACAATGATTCAATTTTGCATTTTAACGGAACAATTGACAAAATGATTAAAAATCACCGCTTTGTAGAAAAAATAATTTTTATTTTAAATTTTACATCTATGTGCACTTGGAAATTGCAAATCAAAAAATCGTACATTTTGACATTTTCTAGGAAAAGGAAAATTCAAAAAAAAATTTAAAATTTTTTTCTTTTCATTTTACAATATAACGATTTATTTTATAATACAATCTATACAACGAATTTATCATATAAAAAAAAACAAACAACACTCTAAATTACAACTTAACCAAATTTATATATTTAGCCTAGCCTAATCTAATAATGTCTAATTATATTTACAATTATTGGTGTGACGAGTTTAAATTTTTTTTCGTTTTAATTTTTTTTTTTTTAAATTAAATTATTAACAAAATATAAATTCATAATTAATTTATATATTTATATATTTTAAAATGCGTTTTTACATATAGATTTCACATTAAAATAATATTTCGTGACGGATGTAATAATAATAATGAGTCAACGCAGGGAGAAAAAACCTAATTTATGTGTGGATATGAAAATCCATAACTCGGCTTTCAATTTATAGGACATGAGTTTTATTATTAATAATCAAAGTAAGTAAATATTAATTTA